ATCTATAACAAGCCCAACAAAGCTTATGAAGCGCAGTGTCGCGGTGAGATGTTCGTACCTATTGAAATACATCGCAGGTATGATACGTTTCATCAGATTTTGTAATAAAGTTTTGAAACTAGCCATGCGACCAATTCTCGTAATCTTAAAACATATCATAGATAGAACATCATATCATAAAACGAAGAGTAACTGAATTGAGACTGAATTGTAAATTGACTAAAAATAGGTATTCTGCTGATTTCTGATAAAAAAAAATACTTTCCGGCAGTCTACTATTGATTAACATTCAATCTCATAGAAATGTCAAACTTGACGTATAAACAGAGGTGAGAGTACGAATTACGTTTCATTTGCATAAAAAATATCACATAAGACTAGCAGAATTCCGATATCGACTTCATTCAACTTTCGGTCACAATACGAAATAATCACATCACAGTCAAAGGGAATTTAAGCAAATTTTAAGGAAAGCAGTCTGAAATTTGGAATCCTTAGTTTATATGGTTCTTCATGGACACTCACTATTACACTTGGACCCCATTTTATTTCCGTGCGGAAATCCCCTCGGATACCACCTATCGGTGGCATGTCGGACTCGAACCGACTAAAACCGCACCCCGTCTCGGGTACTAATAGCCGGGGAACCAGGTATACCCTAGAAAGGAAGTCCCTGGTGTCCCGACATACCTTGGGCCATCTACAACAAGTAGACGATCCCCCCCCCCCGTGTGGGAACCCCATGTTCCCTCTGCTCCCTGGAAGCGAGCGCGCTTCGCAACGCGCTCGCCTCACCATGGCCTTACCTGTCCCCAGGCCTGCGCTTATGGAAGACGGAGGTTGTTCTGCGACCTCCGACGCCTGAGTCGACTGCGGTACCTGGCCCGTTCCCGGACCTGGCGGGCCGGGAGAGTTCTAAACTTCTCCCGGTCCCGCTCCGCCGTCTTCTTCGCGAGCATAACTTGCTCGCAGAAGGAGACGGCAGAGTTCCACGCACCCTCAACGCCGCAACTCCGCCGCCTCCTTGCGCCACTGATACAAAGCCGCAAGGGCTCTCGCCTCCAGGTCCCACGGTGGAGTTCCGGCCAGGAGACTCGCCGCCTCAAAGAAGATCGTGCGGTACCCCCTTATGATCCTGATGGCCAGCACTCGCTGCGGTCGTCGCAGTATCGCGACGTTGCTGGCCTTCAGGGCCCCCGTCCACACTTGGACCCCCTCAATATAGTCTTTGCATATGGTTGCCTGTAAGGGATCGCCTCAGAGCGATAAGCCGCTAAATTTGTATTGTTTACAAAGCTACATTTTAATTCTTAAATGTAATGTTCTTCAGTGTACACTGTATGCTAAAGCTAAAATTATTGTTTTTAAATAAAAATAATAATTAAAGATTCATATAATCATTAATCAATTTTATTTACGGGTACTATTACTTATAATTAAACATATCTACATTGTTTGGCTTAATTTTTACCTTCTCTATAGGTAGATCATGAAATGCCTGATCAGCTTTTCACAAAGCATTAGAATTTCCATTGAACATCACGACACTACTGTTATATGCCGCTCATTGCTCTTTTTTTTTTTTAATTTATTTATTTAAGGTCGCTCAAACATCTAAGGTCATTAGCGACCTCTGTAGGTTCACAATATTAAATTAAATTATAGTGATTAATTAGTTTTAGGAATTTTACAGTCTTTTCTACATTGTTTAAACAATCTCTTAAATTCTTAGGTAGACTAACTTCTAATCTTTCTTTATTATACATGTGACATTCAATTAGTAAGTGCTTGATAGTTAAGTCACTATCACATCTTGAACATTTTTTCTTAGCTTCCTTAGTAATAAGATGTATATGAGTTACATTATAATGTCCTATTCTTAATCTATTTAAAACTATCTCATCTTTTCTGTTATCTGTCAGAAAATTGCGTTTTTCAAAAACTGTTTTCCTTATCTCATACAAAGCACTATTATTATCTTCTACCCAATAGCTATTCCATAACATTTTTACCTTCAGTTTAAGGTACTTTTTAAGGTCTTGAATATTAGAAGTAATGTTATTACAATTATCATATTTTGTGGCTTCTTTAGCTTCTTTGTCCACTCTTTCATTGCCGGGAATACCATTGCTAGGAATCCAGATTAATTCTATGACAAAATTATTATTGAATAGATTAAGTATGTTCTCTCTTATTACATTTATTAAAGGTTCTTTATTTCTAATATTTATTAAGGCCTTGAGAGTCGACATTGAATCAGAAAAAATGATACTTTTATTGATGCTCGTTTTGTTCTTAATTACCTCTAGACATTTCAGCATAGCAACTGCTTCACATGTAAAGATAGATGAGTAGTCGGGTAATCTGTACTTGTAGCTCTCATCTACTGAAACTATCGCACAACCTGACCTTCCTTTAAAAACCGAGCCGTCCGTATAGTAATGTAGGTCCATAGTCCGGATAGCTATCTTTAAGTTGGTTAAACATGTTTTTATAAAAATCAGGAGTGTTATCTCGGGGGTGTTTGTTGGCTAGATCTAAGTTAACTGTGATGTAAATTTTTTCCCAAGGTGGTTTTTTAGGATGCTCGCGAGAATAAGTAGGAGGAAGTTTAAATGCAATTTCGTTTACATATTTTTGAACTCTTAATCTTAATGGAAGAGGAAGAGACGGGCGAAGGTTGTATTCGATATCAGATTGTAAGGTGGTTTTTGAGAGAAACGAATCCTTGTTATTAGCCATGTGGCTGACGGCATATGTAAGACATAACTCTTTTCTTCTTAACGTTAGTGGCATTTCATCTGTCTCCACCAGGATACTATTAGTTGGACTAGTTCTAAAGGCTCCCAAGCTTAATCTTAGGCAGGTGTTATGTGTGCTTTCCAAAAGTTTTAAAATGTTAGAAGAAGCCGAGTCGTATATAATAGAACCATAATCAATTTTCTGCCTAATCAATGCTTTATACATGTTTTTGATGCATTTACTGTCCGAACCCCATTTAATAGCTGATAATATTTTAATAACATTCATCCTACTATAACATTCTGATTTTAGTTTTTTAATATGAGTAACCCAGTTCATTTTTTGATCAAATGTTAGACCTAATATTTTAAGATTTTGTACTTCCCTGATTTTATGATTATTTATAGTTAAACATATTGTATCTCTGCTTTTTCTACACGAAATAATCATGAATTCAGTCTTTGTTTCGGAAAATTTAAAACCGGTATGTCTACACCATTCATTAAGTTTATCCAAGGTGTATTGTAAGAGCCTCTCTGTTGGTTTAAGAGTATTGCCGCTACACAATATTGTCAAGTCATCTGCAAACAAACAACCTTTCACAGGTCTCTCTATACCTTCTAAAACATTATTTATAGCTATCAAAAATAGGATGACACTCAAAACTGACCCCTGAGGTAGTCCATTTTCCGTGAAGAGCTTATCAGATAGAACACCATTAATTTTAACCCTTATGGATCTCTTAGTCAAAAAGTTAATAATAAAGGCAAGCATGTTACCCTTTACATTGAACTGTTCCAAGATCAACATAACCCTATGTTTCCACACCATTTCATAGGCTTTTTCCAAATCCAGAGAAACCACTACTACTTTATTTTTATTTGCAAAAGATGTGAATATATCATGTTCTAAGTGAGCTAAATGATCTAAAGTTGATCTAAATTGCCTAAATCCGAATTGCAGGTGGGATATTAGTTGATTATGTTCCAAATACCATCTCAATCTGTTACTTACGACTTTCTCAAACAATTTACATAAATTACAAGTAAGAGAAATGGGTCTATAACTAGTTGTCAACGTAGCGGTTTTACCTGGCTTTGGTATGGGTATGACAATAGCCTCTCGCCACTGGTCAGGGAAAACTTGATTAATCCAGATATAGTTGTAAATGTCTATGAGTCGTTCAAGAGCTAAGTCAGAGAGATTTCTGATTAAGGTATTTGAAATATTGTCAGGGCCCGGACTAGAATCGCCTAATTGGTGTATTATTAAAAGAATTTCATGCAGTGTGAACATTTCATTAAGCGAGTTACTATTATCTTGTAAGTTAAATACAGTGTTGGCCCCTTCTATTTGATTCTTATATTGTAGAAAGTCTTTGTCATAATTACTGGAGCTAGAGTTCGCGGCGAAAGTTCTTACTAGTAAATCAGAGGTTTTCAAATAATACGATTATCTATGAGTGTTATTGGGTCCTCAATTCTAGTGAGTAAGCTTGCATGAGTCACCGCTTTCCGTTTTTGTAATCCAGAACGTGATTTATAAGATAAAAAGTCATCAAGTGTACCAGATTAAAATTCAAAGTTAAGGAAAAACTTAAGTTGATTTTAACTTTACTAACACACACACTGGCAGTTATAGAAAAAAAAAGTCTGGTGATTTTAGAACACTTAACTGAAGTCTTCAGTCAGGTAATATGTAGAAATTCAAGTGTATTTGCTGGTAATTAAAGGCTACTTGGTCTGAAATTCTTACGTAAGTGCTGCTGCCTACTCGGTACAGTTTCATATAACATACGTAAGTAATTTCGCTTCAAGGGTAGTTAAAGGCAAATTGCTTCATTAGTATGGTTGTACAACTCTATTAAAGATTCTGCAGGTTAAGGAAAAAAATTGAATACCACTGATTATTTACTCGTATAATTCTCTGTGCATTTAATTGTTTTTTACTTTCATTTTATAAGTATTGTGTTAACAATTCGTCATCATTTAATCACTTGTTAATATCCACTAAAAACCTATTTCATTAAACCCATCAATTGAAATATTGTATATGAAGCTTGTATACTGAAAATGTTTTAGCCACTGCTGGGCCTTACTAAAGAAGGTATTCGCCGATAGGATAAAATTGACAGGCTGAGTTATTATCAATGAAACTGTAACATTTCCACAAAAATATTTTATATTTATGTGGTAGTGGTGCATGAAACAGTCAACAGTAATTGTTATTACGTAAGGCGATGTGTTGGTAGTTTCAAAATGCTACATGTTATATGGTTCGCGTTATTAAATGATCTAGTTAGAATGGTACATACAGATATGCATACATCACTGGTTGGCCTCGAAAACTTACCAAGAACTCTAAAAAAAGCAATAGATGATCTAGACAGTCATATTAACAGGCAAGAAAGAAAACTTCATGTTGTGAATAGGTCAGTATGTATTAAAAATCAATTAAGTTTTCTGCAAATATATTTTCTGAATATACTTTCGATATCTTTTTAGTTTGCAGGTATGTAAATCGTTTCAAGACAGAACATGACAGGGCAATGGAAAATATTCAGAACTATTTAGAGAACCCTATTAAAGCTTTCACTCTTATAAAGCAATTAACATCTGATCTAGATAACTTAAATACTATAATTAAGACGGGAACAGGTAATAGAATACGTCTTGCATATTATTTCTAACAGTACTTAACAACTAGTATATATAATACTAGTAATATATAAAACTATTCTAATATTTTAGTGACAAAATTGGTTTAACTCACACAATCAAATAAGTGTAAAAGATCAATTGTTAATTTATTTTGGCTATACTTGATATATTTTACTACATTAAGTAAGTTTCTCTGAAGTGGATAACTTTCAGTGAATTCCCATGGGTGCATTTATTATAAATATCATGCAACAGGACATCCTGTGGCCAGTTATCCCTGTCCTCGTGTCGTCTTCATTTACAAGATAGACTGATATACGAGTAGATACGTACTACTGGCCTGTTGTAACTACTGCACTGGCAGTCAAAAATAAGAGAAATATGATAGACATGAAACTTTACAAATATAACGAGACGTGACAAATTACCTCAAGTTCGTAAAAACGTACCTCCTCTGCGCTCTTGAAAAATACGCAATCTAGAAAAGATTTTAATAAAATTATCGGCATTTTTAGAAAGCAGGACAATAACACACAACAGTTTAAGGTATCCACATCAAAAGGATTTGATAGGCGCCGCAGCAGCTATCGCTAGTTTGCAAAAAACGTATTAATTGACCGTAAAGGACCTATCACAAGGAAATCTAAGTAATACTGTTTATAGGTATGTAACGTCTTTCTTTGTATTCTTCGTTATTATGTATAAAAGAAGTTTCGCCTCGCGAACTTAGTCTGTCAACGGTACACGCTACTGATAACATGTAAGGTCTTATAACTGACGAAATATGATATTATGCTTTTTTTATTTGTATTATATTTTATTTTTATTCTCAATCTGATTCCCAGTCTAGCTAAGTTCTCAGTTTTGGACGTTATTTTTGAGAGACATCACTTCATCTAACAATAACTAGTTGAATTGAAAGACACACAGACACAGTGAGACAGAAGTGTATGTTCAGTTCTGTAGTGGCAACGATGACTCGAAAAATATAAACGTATGCTTATAACCACTCACAACATCATAATATTTCTAGGATACATATTTATAATTAACTCCAAACTTTTGGGAGTTTGGAGTTAATTATAAATATGTATCCTGAACATACACTTCTGTCTCACTGTGTCTGTATATAGGTTATTTTCGTAAATCTTTCGTTTATAGGACACCAATGACGGCCGGTGATTGCTATGTACTGAGCAAGATTTTGTTGAAGGAAGAGATAGACATCAATGAAGCACTTTCGTGGATGATGGCATCTTTACACAAGTATAATACTGAAGAAAACAGCTACTCTTTTAATGATGTTGATATTATCCAGTACATAAGCAAAGTTTATCATATGCTAGGTAAAGTTTAACTTTATTAGACTATTTTTATACGTCTGCTTTCGCGTAATTGTTGTAACCGTTTCTGACAACTCATTTCAATGAAGAATCTTCCTTAAATGGGAATTGCTTAGTCTACATTCGTAGTAAATATCCGTGTGGTGACGGATTAAGAATATGGAGTGTCACCACCCCTATTCATCCCGTTGGTGCCGTAAGAGCCGACTAAGTGAGCAAACAACGCAGGAAAACAGCACTACACAGAGAAGGGAAATTTGAAACAGCCCGTCTGGCCCGCGTAATATAGTAGGCCAAAATCTCCTTTCTAAGGAGAGACCTATGTGCAGCTAGTTTACTACTAAAGGCTGTTGATGATGATCATGATAACTACAGCTGTACCCCGCTTGATCCGCTGCCAATACATGCAAGAAGATAAGATACTGTAATTCTATGGGTTCTAGAAGTGATCAGCAATAGTTTCTATAGTAATGATTATTAAGTCTATTTCACAGGAGATAAGAAAAACGCACTGCAGTGGATGCAAAATTTAGTAGACCGGCATCCTCAAAACTTGAAAGCTAGGATTAAGCTGGCGCATTATGAAAAAAGCATGACTGATCAGAACACCAGGAAAAAAATGGTAAAGTTAAATCTCAATTATGTATTTCTATTTTATATACTACCATAGGTCTTCGGAGTTGTTTACCAGACTTCATTAAGCAAGAAAATTCTATGGAAAAATGATATTTATTAGTATTTTTTTTTTTAAGATTTAGTAACTCATTGCAGGTTAATAGGGTTAAAGACAGACCTAAGAAACCAAATAAAAACACAAACATTAAAAAGGAATTGGAAACATACGAGGCGCTTTGTCGCGGCGACTTGGTCCTTCCAATTAATACATCTAGCAGGTATATAATATGTACGATAATAAGAGCATTCTTAATGGGTATAGCCGTTTGAACATAATCGCTGTCCACCGCTAGAGTTTACAATCGACATATGTATCTTTGTCCAGAAGGCCAATTCTCGTTATAAAAGTTCGGTCACAATTCAGTTCCAATCAACTCTCGATGTCGCAACTGTCACAAAAAGTATTTTCATAGTAAAGTATTAAACATCCAACGTTGACTGTAATATGATTATATTGTTAGGAGGTACGCCTATAAAAGGCTATCCGCGCGCGGTGTCCCCCTTTCGGATTCGCCCTCCATACAACACCACCACCGAAAAGACCATCCCATGACTGACTGGCAGAGGTATATAGCCCCGATCCAGCCTCTACACGTCCCCTGCGGGACGATGTGAAGACCAGCGCTGTCCCCCTGTTATCGCTCGCCGTTCAACGAAGCAACATCGCCTTAGGATAGTGAGACCTATAATTTTGTGTTATATTGTGTGCATACGAAGTGTAAGAAATAGACGATTATTACTTTATTCATAAATAAAAGCGATTAATGTGTTTGCCTAAAGTAACTATGTAATTCTTATAAATTAAATAGATAAGCTTGGTTTGTAATGTTTAATCTTATTTTTACCACATCCGCTTCTGAAATCTCACAATATGGTATTGTAACCGAAAATTGAATCGGTAATCAGTTAGGAATACTTTCTTATTTTACTACAAAAAGAGAGTTGATCGGAGATGAATTTTGACCGAACTTCTATTACAAGAATTGGATTATTTGTAGGTAGTTCCTTTTATTATTATAAAATTAAACTTTCCTTTTTTTATAGATTGTCATGTCGATACCTTAGAGAACATCATGCTTTTTTAAAAATAGCGCCTATCAAGATGGAACTCATGTACCTAAATCCTGATATAATTTTATTTCATGAAATCTTGAGTGAAAGTGAAATGGAGCTTATTAAAGAAATTGCTAAGCCTTTTTTTTTTTTTTTTTTTTTTTTTTTTTTTTTTGTTGACGGGGTGGAAAATCCCTTCGGATCTCCTGCTCCTCGGGGCTAGGAGCTAGGAGTATGTGGTGATTCCACTAAAAACCACCCCGACGGCCGGCCTCAGGTGTCCTACTCTGGGAGGACCCGGACCATGTTATTTCAGGTCCTCCCCGAATTGACACCATGCCTAGTCAGGCCCTATCCCAGGGGAAAATCACTTCCCCCCTCAATCGCGACGTGGCGGCCCAATTTCGTCTTAATGAAATCAGGCCGCCATCCTATCCCCTACCGCAACATTCAATCAGCGACCAGAGGTCCCCACTCTCTGGCGGCCCGCGGCCCCGTCGGCGGCTGGTATGGTCGCCGACGTCCTCTACGCTCAGGATCGGCCCTCTCCCGATCCCGTTCAGCGGTCTCTTTCTGGAGCATTGCAGCTTCACAGAAAGAGACCACTGCGCCCCATCCCTCTTCACCCGCCAGCATGGCAGCAATGATTGCTGGCGGGGACAGGTCTCTTCCGATTTGGCCGACCAGGACTTCGCCCACGCGGGGCAGTCTTCCAGCGTGTGCTGGGCGGAGTCCCAGTCGGCTGCGCAGTGCTGGCATTGTGCCGTCTCCTCGCGTCCGATACGATTCAGGTACTCACCGAAGCAACCATGCCCAGTGAGTACCTGCGTCAGTCGATAGGTGACGCGACCTCCCTCCCTACCTACCCAGGCTTCGAGGTTAGGCAGAACAGCGCTGACAGCGCGTTGGCGTGCATTCTGTGGCTGTTCCAGCCGCACGCGCCACTGCACCAGTGCATGTTGGTGAGCGTTCCGCCGCATTTCGAGCGCGTCCTGGCCTTCCCCGCTCTCACCCCAGCGGATCGCGCGAGTCTGGTCATAGACCCTCGCATCCATATCCGCCAGGATATCAAAGGGCGGGAAACGTGCCAGGACTGTCGCCGCCTCCGACGAAATAGTGCGGTACCCTCGTACGATCCGAATGGCCGCTATCCGCTGCGCTTGATTGAGCTTAGCTCGGCAGCGGGAGGAGGCCGATAGGCGCTTGGCCCATATCGGCGCTCCGTAGAGGGCCATGGATCGTATCACCGCACAATAGAGGCGGCGAACTTCCTCCCGCGGACCCCCTAGGTTAGGCAACAGCCTCTGTAGGGAGCCCGCCACCCCACGAACTCGGGGTATCATCCGCTCGAAATGCTCCCCGAAGCTCCAGCGGCTGTCTAGGGTGAGGCCAAGGTATTTTATGTGTTGGCCAACCTCGACCTCTGTTCCCCCCACTCTAATAAGTGAGCGGGTGGGAACTGCACCTCTGCGTTTCCTGTGGAACCATAAGGCTTCCGTCTTATGAGGTGCAACCCTTAGTCCCAGACCGCTGATGCTTTGGACGACACAAGCCACCCCTATCTCGGCGAGCTCAAGGGCCTCCTGGAAGCCATGCCCCCCAGCCAGTACTAGAGTATCATCTGCGTAGCAGACGACGCTCAATCCTGGGGGAAGGCTGGTCCTCAGAACGGCATCATACGCGAGGTTCCACAGAAGTGGTCCTAAGACCGATCCCTGGGGAACCCCGCATGTGACTTCCCTTCGACATTCTTCGCCAGTCACCA